TCAACCAGGACCAAGTACGGCTCCCTTGAGTTGAATGGGTCTTCAGTCTAATTAGAGTTAAAAATCATCGTTATAAAAACATTTTGAAATAAAGTTTAAAAAAAGTGTATGTTACCAGAAAGCTCATGCACTGCTATGCTAAAGTACTTTGTACATTTTTTTGAGATAACAAAGCAAAAGAAATAACCATCAATAAATAAATCATCTTAGCCTAAAATGCACAGCTGAAGATATATATCCACATGGCATATGAGATCATTGTAGAACAGAACAGTGTGTAATAGAGATGAAAGCTATCTTGCGATATTCTCCGTCCCCATTACCCAATCTCTGTGCTTGAAATGTCTCTGAGGCACCCCATGTCTTTTCAAGTTATTGAAATATGGATAGAAAGAGATCACTAATACTGTGTTCTCCTCTATGCTTCAGAGATTTCGTCATTTGAAGTCTTCCCTATTCATGTATAGAAGCAATCTAGTACAATAAATTTAAACTGTGACTCGAGTTAAATTGGTGTTCAGATCAATTCAACACATCTCTACATAGCCTTCTGCCTTCTGTAATCTTATTATTATTCTGAGAACCATCAGGATGTGTTTTATTTCTAATTCATATTCATTCTTTCCCCTGAATTGTAAATTTACATGTTATGTTTTTTGGCATCAGGAGTTTCTTCTCAAACTACAGTAATCACCCAAAGCTTTTTATCATCTCAGTGGATACCAACTCTGCCATTTCAGACCTGCTGGTTTCATACAAACTATCCATTTAGTCCTCATTTTCCAGTTGGATATTAAGTATGAAGGTCAGTTTGGTCATGGATTTGAAGTGTTACAAACTGTATTCTTTCATTATCCAGGGATGTTTTTATTTAGAAATTTTACATAATATTTAAGATCAAGGTAAATATTTCATAATAAAGTTCAACCAATTATTGTTTCCCCATATTAGTTCACACACAGGGTAATCCTCATTATTATGAGAGTTCTCATATGTTAAAAACTGACATTTCCATTACATTTGATATTACGTTTGAAGTGTAAACCTATGGTGTGAGCCATGACAAAGACAGAGTGCCAAGCCACAGCTATTTGAAGTCCCCCAGGACTTGGGTTAATTAATGAGACTCATCCTAGGGTTATGTATGATCTATTACTTCCTCTAATTAGAAATAATAATCCTGATCATTATACTGGTTAGCTGGAGAGGAGAAAGATGAATGTGCCTAACTATGATTAATCTTCCTTAAGCAGTGTAGTCCCTCCTGTCAATGACTTAGATGCAAACTGGGCTGCAACTCTATGTTTCTCCATGACATACACTTTGTAAAGCACACAGAAAAATAATTTTCCAGTATATATTTTTTACCTGATCTTGGAAAAAATATTTTGTTGTTTTAAAAATGATAAGCAAAAATCATAACATATTTTCCATTTTGAATAAAATAATTGTTACTAAAGGTTTTTTTTGTTTTTACATTCTCTTCAAAAAATATGAACCATAACCAAGATGAAACACAATTATGTACAAGATAATACACCAATTTCAACTCAAAAATTTTGAAAATTACAGTTTTATTTATTTACCACTGTTTTGTCTGAATTGATGTCTTCATTTGCCAACGGACAACTTTAGCTAATAATTTCACATGTCAGCAATTTTATGAAAAGTTATGATTGTCTTAGAACCACAAGTGTAGAAAATGTTGATAATCTTTGATTAAACACAACTATCCTTTTTCATAGGTTAAATACTTCATCTTCTCAAATATTAAAATATAACTCAGTGTTTAGAAATTCCACCCTTTCATACATGGTCGGGTTTGTTGAGTAAGATACAAGATGGCATAGGAGTGAAACACACAGACCCTAATTATGTTTAATTACTCAGAAATGTCAGACATGGGCCCAACCACTCACTACTGGCAGGGATATGGAGAATTTTCTAAAGTCTCAGCATCAGAACAATAGTTTTATTTTATTTTTAAATTTCCTGAACAGAACACCAACAGCACAAGCTCTAAGATTAACAATCAATGAATGAGACCTCATGAAATTGAAAAGTTTCTGTAAAGCAAAAGACTCTGTCATCAGAACTAAACGACAGCCTAAAGGTAGGGAAAGGATCTTCACCAATCCTATATCTGACAGAGGGTTGATATCCAGAATATATAAAGAACTTAAGAAGTTAAACAGCAACACATCAAGTAACCCAATTAAAAATGGGATATAGGGCTACACAGAGAATTTTCAATAGAGGTACATCAAATGGCAGAGATACACTTAATGAAATGCTCAACATCGTTAGTAATCAAGGAAATGCAAATCAACACAACCCTAAGATTTCACTTTACACCCATCAGAATGGCTAAGATCAAAAACTCAAGTGGCAACACATGCTGGAGAGGATGTGGAGAAAGGGGAACCCTCCTCCATTGCTGGTGGGAATATAAACTTGTAAAACCACTTTGGAAATCAATCTGGTGCTTTCTCAGACAATTAGGAATAGTGCTTCCTCAAGATCCAGCTATACCACTCCTAGGCATGTATTCAAAATATGCTCAACTACACAAGGCCATTTGCTCAACCATTTTCACAGCAGCTTTATTTATAATAGCTAGAAGCTGCAAACAACCTAGATGTACCTCAGTTGAGGAATGGACACAGAAATTGTGGTACGTTTACACAATGGAATACTACTCAGAAAGAAATCATGAAATTTTCAGACAAATGGTAGGATCTAGAAAAGATCATCCTGAGTGAGGTATTCCAGAAGCAGAAAGACAAACATGGTATGTACTCACTTATAAGTGGATATTAGACATATAATATAGGATAATTGTACTAAAATCTATACACCGAAGGAAGATAATCTAGAAGGAGGACCCTGGGTAAGATGTTCAGTCTTCATTCAGAAAGGCAAACGGGATGGACATCAGAAGAAGGAGAAAATAGGGAACAGGACAGGAGCCTATCACAGAGGGCCTCTGAAAGACTCTACCCAGCAGGGTATACAAACATGCTGATATTCATTGCAAAACTTTGGGCAGAGTGCAGGGAATCTTTTGAAAGAAAAGGGAGATAGAAAGACCTGGAGGGGACAAGAGCTCCACAAGGAGAGCAACAGAACCAAAAAGTCTGGGCACAGGGGTCTTTTCTGAGATGGATGCTCCAACCAAAGACCATGCATGGAGATAACCTAGAACCCCTGCACAGATGTAGCCCATGGCAGCTCAGTATCCAAGAGAGTTCCCCAATATATGAACAGGGACTGTCTCTGACTTGCACTCATGGGCTGGCTCTTTGATCACCTCTACCTGAGGGGGGAGCAACCTTACCAGAACAATAGTTTTTTAAAATGGTAATAATAAGTATAGTGACACTGAGTTCATGTTCTTTGAGAAGATTATTGAACAGATAGAAAGTATGCAAAATATTTGTAAATAGTGCTAGAATACTTGTGTTATCTTAAACACCAGCAAATGTTCCTTGCTTCCTTTTCATGATGAAAAATATGTACCTAAGCATGTGTTAAATGCACTTATATTTAGAAATTAAGATTTTAGGCAGTAACCCAGAATGACTAACAATTTAAGCTACTCAGTCTTTATAATTTTTATATTAAATTTAAGTGTCGGTTGCTCTTGGAAAAATGAATGGGATCACACAGTAAAATTTTTGCTATCAAAATTGTGGGCAGATTTCAAATTTGAGATGAGCCATATGTGGGATTAATGAATATATAGATATGATTTCCAAAAGTGACACCCAGACATAGTCTTTGTGATAGAATTATATCTATAATAGGTAGATAAATAGATAGAGGGATGAGTATAATACCTTTAATTTTTTTTCTAACATTTAAGTTTAATTACTCAGGAAAGGTTTTCTATTTGTGATGTATTTTATTAGATTACAAAAATTATCTCATTATCGATAGGTAAGCAATTATTATTTAAATTTCAGTGAACTTTTCAACTCTAATCAAGCAGTTATTAGACATATTCTGTTTACTCTTAGCTGTGCTACTGATTATGAGATATGAAGTATGTGACACATAGTATAACAAATAAAATAATAATTATTAAAGATAAAATCATTAATTAAATGTGATTAAAATTAATACGTGTTAAAATCCAAAGTGTTGTATGCAACTGAGTGCCAACTCATCCATGTGGGAAACAGTTGCTGGGAAGCCTTAAACCCCAAATATACTAAGAAGAGAAGAAAATACAATTCAGAGAATCATTCAGGTGAAGACATTTAAAAAACGAAATAATCACACAATTCTAAATATTAACTGATATTGTTTACTTTAACAAACACTCATTTTTGATAAATTCTAAATAATCAAACATATCTATTGTATAAAATTTTTTATAATGTAGGTGGATAGGATGTTTTTTATGTCAGAAGTTACAGTGATAAGTCATAAAAAATTTCATTTCTCTTTGTCTAAACTAGAAATATGTATGAGGATGTTTGATTTAAAATGTAAAAGTATGTTTATATTACACTTGATACCTCATTATTTTATTTAAAAGAAAATTGTCCTTACAAAATGCATGTTTCTATAAGCATAATTTCATAATCAAATTAACTCTTCAACATCAGACAGTACAAAGTGTGTGCATGCGTGTGTGCATGTGTGTGTGCCTGTGTGTGATTATAACTGGGTCGAGGCAGACAATAGAGGTAAACAACACATGTGTAAATAGTAAAGTTAAATATTAAGTCTAACTTTCAGATGAACAGAATTTTTTGCCAATTTTATTTTAAATGAGGACAAAATTATAAATGATGAATCTATCCAGAATGTCATTCTGTCAATCAAGTATAAGACTGACATTTTGATTAATTAATAAATGATCTTTCTAAAGAAGTCTACTGAGATAATACAAATGATGAAAGCATGTGTTGATAGCTGAGCATATGCCCTTCTCAGAGTATGGAAGTAACTGACACACATGCTACTATAATTTGGACTTCTGCAAACCTTACCTGCAAACCTTGTCCATCCATTGTAACAGAATTAGCTCTTTGCATCTTGTTCCTGTCTGTCACTTTATTTGGCTGTTGGCAACTGCTCTTTTCCTTTTTAGCTGTTGACTGCCTTTCCTGTAAAAAAAAAAAAAACATAATATATATAATATATATTTTATAAACTGGATTAAAATTGAAGAGGCATGAGTAGTGTGTTAAAGGGAACCTTTTAAAAGATCATTATGATTATAGACAACCTAGGTCCAATCAGCTAATCTGCAATGTGTCCTGAAAAATATGAAATCTCTTCCTTTTAACCAAATCAACATATTTCATAGCATCATGATCAAAATATTATATCACATAAAGAAGAGTATGGAAGAAATTAAAATTGTAGGGATCCAGAGACATACAATATAAAATGTATGTACGAACTATTATAATTTATTGCTTTCATAAACAATGATATTGAAATGTTTACAATTTAAAGATTCTGATTAGTGCTAAAAGTAATGTTAATGGATACCCTCATCTTTGAATGTCTGGTAGAATTCTGCCCTAGAACCATCTGGACATGGGATGTTTTGGTTAGGAGACTTTGATAACTGTTTCTTTCCTTAGGACTGTTTAGAAAGTTTATCTGATCTTGATTTAGCTTCGGTAGGTGAAATCTATCAAGAAAATTATCCATTTTCTTTAGATTTTCTAATTTTGTAAAATACAGAATTTTGAAGTAAAACCTAATGATTTTTTGGATTTCCTCATTGTCTGTTGTTGTGTACCTCTTTTTGTTTCTGATTTTGTTAATTTGGATACTCTTCCTCTATCTTTAGTGAGTTTCGCTAAGGGTTTGTCTATCTTGCTGATTTTTACAAAAACAAACAAACAAAAACAAAAACAAAACAAAAAAAACCCAGCTTTTGGTTTTATTGATTCTTTGTATCATTCTCTTTGTTACCAATTTATTGGTTTTCAGCCCTAAGTTTTATTATTTCCTGTCATCTACTCCTCTGGAGTGTGTTTGCTTCCTTCTTTTAAGTTTTCAAGTGTGCTACTAAGTTACTAGGACGGGATCTCTCCAGTTTCTTTATGAAGGCAAGGCGCTTAGTGCTCTGAACTTTCCTATTAACACTGCTTTCATTATGACCCATAAGTTTTGTTATGTTGTGCCTTCATTTTCACTGAATACTAAAAAGCCTTTCATTTCTTTCTTTACATCTTCCCTGATCCAGTGGGTGTTGAGCAGGGGGGTTGTTCAGTTTGTAGGCTTTCTGTTGTTTCTGTTGTTGAGTTTCAGCTTTAATCCATGGTTTTCTGATAAGTTGCAGGGGGTTATTTTAATTTTATATCTGTTTAGGTTTGCTTTGTGACTGAGTAGATGGTCAATTTTAGATAAGGTTCTGTGGGGTGCTGAAAATAAGTTACATTCTCAGGTGAAATGTCCTGTAGCTATCTGTTAGGTCCATTTGACTCATGAGGTCTTTTAGTTTTATCCCCACTTACTTTCTGTCTTGATGATCTGACCATTGGAGAGAGGGGGAAGAACAAAAGATCCAGAGTAGCTAAAACAATCCTATTAAATGAAAGAATTTCAAGAGTTATCTCCATCCCTGACTTCAAGCTTTACTATAGAGCAACAGTAATGAAAACTTCATGGTAGTGGCATAGAAACAGACTGGTTGATCAGTGGAGTCAAATCGAAGATGCAGAAATAAACACACACGCTTATGGTCTCTTGATATTTGACAAAGGAGCCAAAACCATACAACGGAAAAAAGATAGTGTCTTCAACAAATGATGCTGGTCTAACTGGATGCTTACATGTGGAAAAACGCAAATAGATACATATTTATCACCCAGCAAAGAAACCTCAAATTCAAGTGGATCAAGGACCTTAATATAACACCAGATACACTAAATCTATTAGAAGAGAAAGGAGGGAAGAACCTTGAACTCATTGGCACAGGAGACAACTTCCTGAACATAATATCAACAGTTCAGGCTCTAAGATCAACAACCTCTTGAATCTGAAAAGCTTTTGTAAGAATAATGCCAAGAAACACTTAAAGAAATGTCCAATGTCCTTAGTCATCAGGGAAATGTAAATGAAAACAACTCTGAGATTCCATCGCACAGGGGTCAGAATGACTGAGATCAAAGACCTAGACCCCATGCTCAGAGGAAGCTCATAGGTTGCTCAGTTTCTGAGTGGGTTTCTTATCAAGGAGATAAGGGGCTGTCTCTGACACGAACTCAGTGGCCTGCTCTTTGATTACCTCACCCTGATGGGGGAGCAGCCTTGACAGGCCACAGAGGAAGACAATGCAGCCAGTCCTGGTTAGACCTGATAGGCTAGGGTCAATGGGAAGGGAAGGAGGTCCTCCCCTATCAGGGGACTGGGGAAGGGGCATAGGGGGAAAATAGGGAGGGAGGATGGGACTGGGAATAGACGGAGGAGGCTACAGCTGGCATACAAAGTGAATAAACTGTAATAAATAATAATAAATATGATTAAAATTAAAAATAAAAACACATCCTGGAGATGAGGTGGAGAAAGAGGAGCCCTCTTCCAATGCTGGTGAGAATGTAGACTTGAACAAGCACTTTGGAAATCAATCTGGTATTTTCTCAGAAAATTGGGAATAGCTTTATCTCAAGATCCAGCTAAACCACTCCTGTGTATATATCTGAAAGATGTTCTATCATTCAGTAAGGACATTTGCCCAGTATGTTCATAGCAGCTTTATTGTAACATCCAGAGCCTGGAAACCATCTAGATGCCCCTCAACCAAGGAATGGATACAAAAATTGTGGTGTACTTACACAATGGAATACTACTCATCTATTGAAAACAAAGAAATCATGAAATTTGTAGGCAAATAGATGGAATTAGAAAAGATCATCCTGAGTGAGGTAACCAGACCTAGAAAAACACACATGGCATGTACTCACTTATAAGTGGATTTTAGCATATAGTACATGGTAAGGATACTCTGAGGCACAGACACAAAGAGAAGTAACAGGGGATTCAGGGAAGGATGAAGAAATCTCTTTCAGAAGGGGAGAAAGAATAGACAGAGGTAGTGGCTGAAGAGAAGGAACCAGGTAGAAGGGGGCACAGATAGAGAAGAGCCTGGATTTTGGACCTGGGGGAGAGAGAGGGAAGATGGAAGAAGGTCCGCAGAGAAAAGAGAAACTGAGGGTGGGGGTATCTCTCTGACAAGCTGGAGACAAAGTCAGGATAGGCTCCTGGAAAGATATGAGGGGTACTCAAGCAGAGACTCCTAATAGCAGAGACCATAGAAAATAAAGAGGACACCTTCTAACTAGACTAATCTCATAGGAGAGGGAGGGAAACACCAACCCACCCACAAATACTTTGGCCCAATTTACCCTGCCTACAAGATGTGCAGGGGTAAAGATAGAGTGGATAAAGCAGAGACTGAGAGAATGCCCCAACCAAAGACCCATCTATCAGAGTGTGCCAACCCCTAACACTATGGAGGATACTCTGTTAAGCTTACAGACAGGAACCTGACATTTGTCCTCTGATAGGGTCTACCCAGCAGCACCTCAAGACAGATGCTGAGACTCACAGCCAAACATTGGGCAAGATGTATGGAGTCTTGTGAGAAAGAGAGAGAGAGAAAGAGAGAGAGAGAGAGAGAGAGAGAGAGAGAGAGAGAAGGGACAGGTGCCCTACAAAGATATAGCATGTGGGTTAGCTTAGGCCTCATGTGGGTCCTCTAGTAAGGAAAATGGGGACTCCAATGGACAGGGACTCACTTGCCAGCTTTTTAAAAATTATTTTATTTTTTACAATTTATTAATTTTATAGCCCGATTATAGCCCCCTCCCTCAACTCCTTCCAGTCTATCCTCCCTCCTTCTTCACCTCCATCCCCTTCCTCTAGTCCACTGAAAAAGGAAGTTCTCCTCTGCCATCTGTCCCTAGCTTATCAAGTCTCACAAGGACTGCCCGGATCCTCTACCTCTGTGGCCTGGGAAGGCTGCATCACCAGGAGAAATGATCAAAGAGCAGGCAATAGAGTTCATGACAGAGGCAGTTCCCTTACTCAGGGACCCACATTGAAACTGAGCTGCCTATTGGCTACTTCTGAGCAGGGAGTCTAGGTCCTTTCAATGCATGGTCTTTGGTTGGCACATCAGACTCTGCAGGACCCCCTGGGCTGAGATATTTTAGCTTTGTTGGTCTCCTGTGGAGCGCCTGTCCCCTCCATGTCTTTAACTCTTTCTTCCATAAGATTCCCTCCACTCTGCCCAAAGTTTGGCTTTGAATATATATACATATATATAACTCCAGAAATTAGACACTTGCCAACTTCTAGATCACCTTCCTCTGGTAGGACTGCCTTTCCAAGCCACAGTGGAAGAGGACACACTCAGTCTTGATGCACCTTGATGAGCTGGGGTGGATGGGAAAGAAAGCTCCCTTTTTTTGAGGAAAAGGGGAGGGAGGAGGGGGATGGAAAGGGGGAACTATGGGACTGAGATGAGAGGAGCAAAGGGGCCACAAGGATGTGAAGTGTATAAAAAAAATAAACATAATTTCAGTTCATGTCTCATCCTGAAACTTAGCTTTGCCCTTTCAATCTCTCCCTCTATGTATCTAAAACACTTAGCATTCCTTGAACAACTACTTGGCCTCCCATCAATGGCTTAAACAAGCATATTACTATTTTTTCTAGATTATTGTAAACATCACCTATTGGGCCAACATCCTTTCATCTTTGTTTTCCCTTCATCAGTATTCTACAGACAGACATATCTCTTTGCTCTCTCAAGCTACAGACGCCTCCTTATTATTCTTTGATGACAGCAACCACTCTTCTCCTTCCGGACTTGCAACCGATCTGTACTCTGTGAAAAACTGGCTTTGAGTATTTTGACAATTTGGTCTTGAAATTCACGACTCTGGCATGATGGTAGAGAGGTTTCTCTAATCATTTAATCTTTATTTCAATACCAATGTTATACTCCCAAGGATTTCAATCAAAGTCCCATGTAGAAGAAAAAATCCTACTGTTACATAGCAGACCTTAATCATTGCCTGATATCAAGGTAAATAGGTACAAAATAGAGTAACAACTAAGATTTAAACACTAAAGTTTCTAA